GAATCATGCTCATTAATTAGTGTTTCTTAGCAGTCTGGCTTGGAAATACTAACGTTATTGTGACCTCCTTCGCTCTTGTGCTCTAAGGAATTTGAGTAATGCAGAATAGAAGAAAGAAAGTAAGTGGTTTGATTGGCTATGATTGTGTTGGGTTTGGAACTGTGGAACCTTGTGCTATGAATACTTCCACCACCTAAAAGGCTTTTCCCCATGTCCAAGACCCTAGCCAATCACTTGAACCTGTGTCTAAGACCTCAGGATTAATTATTGATGACATCCCTTGTGTGAACTCTAACATTTAGAGGCTACCATCATGGTGAAGAGACGTTAGGATTTGAGAGAATAAGCACGCGCATTTTTCGCATCAAATTGTCCTGACCCCACTGGTCGAGAGTGAGTGATTCATTTCCTTGTTCTTTATCCTCCTTACCCCGGTGAGGACCTAGATGGCTCGGTCTTGATTCTGATGTCTTGAGTTTGATGCATGTGATGACTGTCTTGGTTAAGTGTTTGAATCAAGTCTATGTTGGTTGGTGAACAGAAAGGATTCCTCTTCCTTTACCCAATTTTGCTGCACTCGAATGTCCTCTGTGGAGGTTGTCTAGGTTGCTGTTGAGTTGTCCATATTTCAATGATCAAAAGCCAGTATGATTCACGTGCTCTGTGCCTATATGATATGTCCCCAAAGTTGGTATGATTGAAATGTGTTAAGCTTACCATGTATCTGACTTGGTTTGCTTGGGGACAAGCAAACGGTTAAGTGTGGGGGAATTTGATGACTTGATATATACACATGTTTTTGTCCACCATCTTATACCGTTTGAGCCTCAATTCTTGTATTAGGCCGATTTCACGCTAGGTTGTTCTTGTTTGTGAAATTTCAGGTCCTAGTACGTGATTGGAGGTTTGGGAACGAGTTCGGGGTCGATTGGACAAAGGTTGGACGTTAGGCGAGGAGCTGAGGGAACCACACAGCCAGACCTAGCAGCCACACGGCCGTGTGGTGTGACCGTGTGGAATTCCATTACGCGGGCAAGACCACACTGGCCGTGTACCGGGGCCTTGAGGCCGTGTGGAAATCCCAGAGAGGTTACACGGGCAAACCAGTTTTCTACACGACCGTGCAGCTCTGGCCGTGTAGCATTCGTGGAGGCACTTAATTGAAACGTCGCGGTTTGGAGCTCACACGGGCAGACTGGGATTTCTACACGGCCGTGTGGTCTGGAAATTCTGGGTTTTAACCCAATTTCGGGTCTTTTGGAGGGGGAATCGAGTTTTTTAGCAAAAACAGAGCTTTAGAGAGAGAGTGCGAAGAACAAACCCTATGAGCTATTTGTAGTGGATTTCTCACCATTGAAGCCCATATTGCATCCCTAGGAGTGAAGATCGACATCCCATAGCAGATTATCCTCATCTTTATGAGTATGAATACTCTGATTTTTGTTTTCCTTTCTCTCTCTATGGAGTAGAACCTTCTCTCACTTGGGTATGAAGAACCCTAGTTCCATGTGTTAGGAATCTTGATTGTAATGACTTGGGATTGATACACTTATTGATTTTAATCGATTGATGCATGATTCATTGAGCCAATTGAAGCCTGATCATCTTTTCTTGATTTCTGCTGCAACCTGAGATAGATAGAATCTGATTAGGTTGTTAGAGCTTCATCAATCGGTAGTGGTAGATTGGTTATACGAGAGTTAATCGATTTACTGCTTTGCACTGGTGTCCAATTCCAGTAGTGGAGTTCTGCGTTTATTGCCTCAGCAGTCTATCTAGTATCAGGGTTATTCAAGGTAAAATATTAAGCAAATTATTTCTCAAAATCCTACTCTAAAATCCTCTCAATCTCTCGTCTCTTCCTCTCTATGTTGCCGACACCTCTTCTTTCCCTAGTTCTTCCTCCAAATTCCTAATCCTGTAACCAATTTTCTAAATCCCTAATTATCTATCAATTTTCAATATCTCAACCCGATTCGTATAAGCAAGAGAATAGGGTTCCTAATAGTAGTATAAGAGCCTTGATGAGTTTGTCGCAAATCGTCATTCCCGAATAGGGCTATTGCTAGATCAGCTGGACTGATCCTTTGACCGGAAGGAGCCAAAGACGACGGTGACCGTAGCAGTCGAAGGGAGGAAGAATAACTGTCGCTTCTCATTCCCAACGCAGGCACAACGCCACCCCTAGTCGTCGCCGCAGTGACTCAACCACCACTGCCAGGACCTGCTACATTAAAGTTGCACAATGAATTAAAGTCGTTCCTATTTCAATTAACGTCCTATTGGAAAAAGCAGCGGTTGAGAGCCTCGCTACAACAAGAGTGCAGCCACCTGACACCGCCAATGTTCCTCATACAATCGAGAATGCGGATCGCTATGAATCATGGAGGATGTAAGTAAAGGGAAGGAATTAACACATGGTCATGTTGCAAATTAGCAGTTTCGAAAAAAGAAATTAAGATCCGACAAAACAGGGCTGGTGGAGACCACATCGGCCATTCTCATTGATTCGTCCGTTGTGGCAACGTCGCCTATGTTGCTGCTTGCCAAAAACCAATAGATAAAAACCTACATTTATCCCCAAATCATCGCTGACGCCGAGTATCCAATCGGCATAGCTTTCGGGTCCCGCAGGGCATCATCAACCTTGCCATTTCCATGATTGTAGAGGTTCGGGTGGCGAGGATTCCTGAGATCCACTGGATGTTGATAAAGCTCTATAGTGGTGGAGTCCAACGAAAGCTAATGAAATGAAGAGCCGCTGGATTGGCTCGATGAAGCCGCGAGTCGAACGAGAAACGCCACAATCGAAAGCAGGTTCCCTCATGTCGTTGACCAGCAAGAAGATGAAACTGAAGAAGAGTGTTGTGTCTTGGGAATTTTATCACAACTGCCTGGTGGAGGGCTCAACAAAGAAGAAACCGTCAATGAATGAGAGCAAGAAGGGAGGTGGCAACTGATGTCATAAATAAAATTTATATCCTAGGATATCCTAGGCTAATATTCCACAAGGTCTTATAATGCATAACTACTCACACCATACCAACCATGACACACGAAACAAGAGAGACTATTTAGGAGTTTTCATTCGAATAACAAGCAAGGAAAAGCAAAGTCGGAAGAGTATCGTTGTTTAGGGGTTTCAAGCTATAAATGCATAAAAGTAAAGACATGTTATTGTACAATAGAGTGAATCTCGAATAGCATCATACATACTAAGGCTCGATCACATCATGCATCAATAAATCATCTATAGCATAACTATACCCCTGCATGCACCTCTTGTGATGGAGATTTAACTAGCTAATGCTTTTGATTCATGTCATCACCTAATTAATGAAGAACAATGAAGTTAGGATAGCACATGGTTAAGTGTGAGTCTCTTGAGGCATAATCGATGGTCTATAGCATCAATGATCTAACATTCAAGAATTGATACTACTCTACGCATAGATGGTTGATCATTCCCTCTATACTCGTGTAGCATCAATGGGATACCGCTAGAAGGTAATTTCTTAACAATCTAGATGATACTAAGCACAATGCATATAGTAACACACTATAGAATCATAAGCATTGTTGTTAGGAAGAATTGAACTAAATGAGCATCAAAACCATACACATAAACCTCGAAACATCAAGCATCCATGCATTTATATATGGCATCAAAAATCACAAGCATGACTTGAAATCATAGAATCAATACATACAACGTTAAACGAGTTGACATCCTCATAAAATTAATTTTGAACTAGCAACATAGAATAGAAGGTGGGTACCACCATCGATGATGAAAGCATCTCCCTAGATGCACCCTCTCCTATGAAAGCTAAACTCTTACTTGAGTAGAATATACTGAAGTTTAAATGTAGATTTGCAACCTACTGAACTAATGAGTCTAGCCCTCTATTTATAAAAGTAAAACTCGCCCAAAACCCTCCTAAACTGATTAGGACCAGGTTTCTCTAACTTAGGACATGAGTCATGGCCTCAAGATCTTGTTACGGGCTTGGGCTTCTTGGCGGAGGTAGTGCGGCGGTTAGGACCACCGCCCCTTTTCTTCTTGGGATGGTTTTCTTAGTCCATGGAAAACTCTCTTGAAGATTTGGATGCGTTTTGACAAGGTCTCCATGAGCAACGGTTAGACCAGTTCCTCCGTTGGGCTTCTCTTGGCTCACATTATGGTTACTAGTAGGATTCTCTGTCATTGTACCTCGTCATTATCATGAAAACTCCAGGTTCTTCTCTTTATAGCCCTTTTGGTCCTCCAGAGTTTTCCTTAGGTTTCTTTTTACCATGAAAACCATTAAAAAACATACCAAGAAGATATAAAAGATTATTGATAGCCTTTTACCAAGTGCGACTATTAAGGCAAGTGTACTTGTCGTGGAAACAATACTGTGGCAAGTAAGGTCGTATTCCACAGAGACTATGAAATAATAGTACTTAACTATGTTTTTTTTATTAGAGCTAATGCCACTAGGAAACATGAACTATCAGATAAATTTCGCTTGTGTCCCAGCCTTCAATATTCCAGTCATGTCCTAAACTATTATTTTGTTAGTGTTGACTGACATTGATCGTTAGTATTTAACTGAAATCCAGTCAGTGTTGATGTGGCATATGACATGTTAATTGCAAAAATTAAAAATTACTCTCTCATCTTGTAACACCCCGACATTTAGATTCAAATTCGACCATAGTACATGAACGATTGGATAGACGATTACGTACGATTAAAACTACGAATTAAGAATAATAATAATAATAATAATAATAATAATAATAATTTATTATTATTGTTATTAGTTAAAAAAAAAAGGAAAAGAAAACCCCTACCCCACGTTAACCCCACCCCAAATAAAACCCCATCAATTTGGAGTTTCTGTAATTACCTTTCCTCCACGCATATTGTACCAATTAAAGAACCATTTAGAGCCAATTTTCAGCTCGCCAACTCAACCGCCAACAAGCCCTGTACACTCCCATTCCCTTATCACATCAGACTTGTGAACTTAATTAATAAGAGACAGCTAGCTAGAGTTAACAGGAAGAGGAGCAAGGTGTCAGTGCATGGATGGCTTAAATTGTACCTTTAGCTCACTCTCGTTTTTACTATGGATCCCTCCATCCGGCATCCACTCTCCCATTACTTCTCTTCACTACTGATTCACAACAACACCAGAAGCTTGCCTCCATTATCATCAACTTCTTCCTCCCTCCCGTCAATATTAGGTTTCGTCTGCCTAAGCTCCTCATCATCGCCATTGTCGTTGTTGTTGCGGGAGAACCACACCACTAGTAGCTACCCCCGTCCCTCTCTCTTGAGATCAGTAGGTAAGATCAATGGATCCCCAACTGTTTTCAAGTTTCAAACTTCATGGTTAACTAAGCAAGGTTGTTCCCGTGACGTAGCTTTGTCGGCAAAAGGCATAGGGATCTACTGATGATCCAAGTGAGGAACGAAGGTCCTACCCATCCAGATCTAAGTGTAGGCACGTATTTGAGGTAAGTAAAATCCGATCTTCGCATTAGAAACTGAATACGTTTGAGCCTGTACGAGTTTATAGTTTTCTGGGAAATTAGCGACGGAATTACAGGCTTTTAGCAACCAAACAGCCGCCGTGGCTATAGTCTGGCCAACCAGTGTCATTGACATCCCTTTTAGGGACGAGATTCAAAGTTTTTAGTGACCGTTTCGGCGACGGTAGCTAAATGAGCTGTAGAGTTTACATGTTAATTCAATTGGATTTAATTGTAAATGATTTACTAGGTACCTTACTAATGGATGTATTAGGTTGTTAAAGTATTTTAGTAACTAATAAAATGAGTTAGTTTGATTTAATTCTATGTTTGATCCAATAATATGATTAACGATGTCCTTAAATGATTCTCTTAGGAAGTTAATAGGTTAAGATGATTTAAGTTATCAGTTAGCAAAATATAAGTTTTGATAGGTTAGATGTTATGACGAGTTAAATTAGAAGTTATTATGAAAATGAATTGTATAAGGGAGTTATGTTAATATGAGTAATTGATGAGTAAGTTATCAGTTTTGACCCATCAAGAACATTATAAGTATTTAATCTGTTGATTGTTAATCTAGGTTAATTGATAGACTGAGTATGATGAAATTAAGTTGAATTAAAGGATATAATTATCGTAGCAAAAAAATTAAATAAGAATTTAGCAAGCCCCTATACTTTGCACATATTGCAAAGTAGTCCCAAATTGAGAACCGTCGCTAAGGACCCATTAGCCCAACCGATCTAACCTTGGCTTTCGTCATAGGTTCACCAATGCAATTTACCCCTGAAGAGCACCGATTCCTTAAGTTGGTGGCTAAATCAGTTCAACCGTCTTAAGCTAACAAGGTGAGTGGTTTAAGGGGGTAAACTCTACGCCTTACGTATTTTCAAGTATTTGACTTACGAGTTTTAAGTAAGTGTGTTTATGTAAATTGTATGCCAGTGATTGATTTATGTCATGATTGATAAAGCATGTTTAGTTGAGATATTATCTGAGATACTCCATTTGAGTTATGATTGTGAAGTACATGATTATTTGAGCTTTCAGTATTTATTTGAAGCTTTTATATTATGTTTATTTAATGAAGTTTGTTTGATCTTTAAGGATCAACATTTAAGAGGTATTTCACTCCTAATTAAATTAGGGTGAAAAGATTTAAAGGTAGTTCACTAACGCCAGTCCCCCGCCCTAGTGAAAGTTTAGAGGAAGAGCAATTGTTTGCTCTTAAGGAACATGTGGATGAATCACTTAGACATCACATGAAGTTTAAAGGAAGAGTATGATATACTCTTAAGGTTTATGAGGTTGAATCGATTACTCCCATAAAAAGGTTTAAGGAAAGGTCTTTATTGGCCCTCATACGTATGAGAAGGGCGGCTGGACTAGTTAGTGAGGGGATCCCAGTGTCGGTCAAAGGTTTAATATTTTTGAGAGTGGCGAGTAACAACAACTCCCACGTTTTAAGAGTTAAAGTTTAAAGGGTGGAAGTATAAATAACTTCCACGGGTTTTTGAGGTGAACACTTAAGGGAATACTCGTAAGTGATTCAAGTTTAAGTAATGGCGTAGACTGACCCCAACCCACTCACCAGGTCATAGAGGAGGAGCTAGAGAGCATCCAGTCGAGGAGCATCCAGTGAGAGAGCAGGCTACCAGAGGAGGACCACGTGAGCACTTCTGAAGATGTCTGACCACGGATCGGAGTAAGCAGCATTTGTAATCTTTAGTTATTTGCTTTATGATCATGAGTAATGACTGGAGATTTAAAAGGATAAGACTTTATGGATTGAGGTTTGCCCAAATGTTAGGGCTTTGCTTTTAAATTATAAGGTGTATTTTCAGTATTGGTATTTCGAGCACATTATTGTTTCTTTCTTTCAAAATTTTAAATATGCTCCGGAGCAAACTTGCTATTTAAGTGTTTTAGAAATCGGGATATGACACATCTACCTGAATCCCCCCCTCCTAAGCCTACTCGGCCTCGTCCTCTTAATGGTGGCAATCTTCTCCACCGCCGGCGATCTTTGATCATGTCAACAAGTCCCTCGTCAGAATCGAGCTTTCATCCCAACCATCATCGATCCTAGTCGACACCACCTCCCGGCTCCTGATTCTTCTCTTATCCCATAAATGTGCCTAGTTCCTCGCGTCGCCTGAAGCTTACTGGTCTTCGAGAAAGTCGATTGGTCTTCCTCCATCGTCATCTTCGTCTTCCTCCTCAACATACCACCCAACGAAGATCCACTGCGATTTCTTTGGCTCGAATCGACATACAACTTCTTCGATCGACTAAATCTGGGTGGTGATGTTACGACAGGGGTTTCCCCAATTCTTCCCATTGTGGTCACTATTAATTGATCCAACCATTGTTAAAGCTCTTCCCTAATTTTTTCTTTGGATTTGGGGGTTTCTTGGTTTCAATAGAGCTCTTCCCCGATTTTTGTGTTCGATGGTGACCATTCGCTGGAGGGGGGGGGGGAAGAGGAAGACACAGAAAGCTGGAGTTTCGAGTTAGGGAAGAGGTGAATGGTTAGGGAGTGCAAAAAGGGTGGGGTGGGGTTGCGGCGAGAGTGAGGTCGTTCTCACTTTGGTGGAAGGAGGAGGAGCAGATATACTAAATATAATCAACACCCTCCCTCAAATTGATTTTGGGTACGCAACATCAATTTGGAAGATAGTACCTATGCTACTAGGAGAAATTTTACAATGCTATATAGCATTGGTGCTATAGGATTTTGCCTTTATGGTACAACTTAAAATTGTACATTTAGGTTATGGTACAGCTTAAAATTGTACCTATACTTTTTGTACAAATTCTTTTACGGTACAACTTGAACTTGTACCTTTATGTGATGGTACAACTTCAATGTAAAGTTGTACCATAACATAATGATACAAATTGCTTTATGGTACAACCTAAACTTGTACATTTAATGTTATGGTACAACTTTAAGTTGTACATTAAAGCACCAATACTATATAGCATAGTAGAAGTGCTCATGCTACTAGGAGGAAACAACCTTTGTCAACAAATCAGCAGTCTATTCTTCAGTCTTCAAATAACTGAGCTGTATCATTCCTTCTACTACCAACTGTGTGATGTAATGAACATGAACCTCACTATGTTTCGTCCTATCATGCGACACATGATTATTTTCTATATGTATAGCACTGGTATTATCCCCATATATGAGCATCGATTTGTCACACTCCACACCCAACTCCTGGAATAGACGTTGAATCCACACCATTTCAGAACTTACCTCAGACATCGACCGGTACTCAGCTTCTGTAGAAGATTTAGATACTTTATCTTGCTTCCGGCATCTCCAAGATATAAATGACCTCCCAAACCGTATACACCAATCAGAAGTGGATCTCCTAGTATCCTGGCACCCTGCGAAATCAGCATCTGCAAAAGCCTCAATCGTTGGTGTTTCATCATTGGGAAAGAATAATCCAACCTCTGCAATCTGCTTAAGGTAGCGAAGCTATCTATGTACAACATCAAGATGATTTTTCTGAGAAACTCCCATAAACTGACTAACCACCTGTACTGCATATGCGATATTAGGACGTGTGCGTGTCAAGTAGATCAAGCTTCCCGCCACACTACGATAGAAAGCATGATCTTCTAACAACTCTCCATCCTCTCTACTCAACTTCAAGTTATGCTCCATAGGTGTGTTACACGGTCGACTCGTACATAATTTGTACCCTAGACCTTGTCACCTCCAAGCCCAGGAAGTACGATACATTACCCAATTCTTTCAAATTGAAGGTCGAATGCAGCAACGTGTCAAATCAAGGACATAACTATTCTGCTATGAAACGTCGGGACAAGACTGTTGAGGCAGGATACCGCGAGATGCATAGAACTCGAGAAATGGAGTAGCAATGAATTCCCCACTTGGGTTCGATCGAAAAAGCTTCACCTGTTATCCAAACTAAGTTTCTATCATCTGCACAAAAGTCTTGGCATGATCGACTAATTCCGATTTCTGCCATAGAAAATATATCCACGTATAGCGAGTTTTGTGATCCACAAATAACGCAAAGTACCAAAATCCCATGCGTGAAGTAACAGGGGAGGGCCCCCATAGATCCGTATGAACGAGATCAAACGGAGAATCATACTGAGTCTCACTCGCTGTAAAAGAAGACTAAGTAGCCTTAGCTTCATTACAACTAATACATAGAGTGGAGGGATGAAATTTTGGGTCAAGAGAGACAGGCAACAAAATATGATGAAACATATGTAACAAACGAGTAGTATGAGGATGGACAAGTCGATAATGCCATAAATTCCAAAGTGAAAGAGACTTCCATGACTTACAATTCCCAGAATTCAAATCATCACAAGCAAAAGTACTCAACTGCCCAAAAACACTCAAACAATGGGTCCTATCATCATTATTCACCAAGTACATATAACTATCCGAAATTGAAGACAAAGAAACATCGCCACCATTCCCAGCCTGTGTTGCATCCTGAACACCCAGCGGCGACTGCTGAAACTTGTCTAGAACAAACACCCTTCCATCCTTCCTACCCGTTCCCAAAACCTCCGCAGTGTCATGATCCTGCCAAACACACTCGATATCAATAAAAGTTACTGAGCACCCACCCATCCTCTATTAACTGCCGAACAGACACCAGACTCGGAACCAATTGAGGAACATATAATGTATTAGCCAAATGAACATCGCTTGTACATACAATGCCCAAACCCGAAACAAGGAGTTGAGTCCCATTAGCCACCTGTAAAGATCTCATATGGGTAGGACGAATAGAAGAGAAGCTCGCAGAAGAATTAGTCATATGGTTATAGGCAGCAAAATCAACTAACCAGCAAGGAGGAGTACCTGACGAATTGCCTGCGGCAAAGGTGAAGTTCAACATATGAGGAATAGCATCCTGAAGCGCCTCGGCTACCATTTTACACACATCAAAAAAAGTAAAAACAGCTCCCAAGGAAGAAGAGGTAGGCGCGGCATCAGAGGCAGCCCCATGAGTATGAGCAGGAATAACGACATAGCTAGGATTAGGAGCCATCGTAGCCCGCGGCTGATGATTAGGGCAATAACCACCTTTCTTGGCGAGTACATTTCAATCAATAATTATGTGGCTAGACTGCTTATAGTAAATGCAGAAATTCATATGCCTGCAGTGCGGCTGAACATGACCAGACTCATTACAGAAATGACAGATCACCTAACTAGAAGTTCCTTGCTGAAATTGAGGTTGATGAGAACCCTTGCCAATAGCAAAGGCAAAATCTTCTGAACTAGAATGATCCAGCCTGGCTTGACTTCGAAGTCGAGTCTCCTCCCTGAGAAGCTCATCAAGTGCCTCTTCCACACTGCTGACTTGATGGTGAAGCAAGGATGACGCAAGGACTCGAACTCAGGCTAAAGTTTACTCAGAAATTGCATAAAACGGGAGCGAGATCGCTCCTTCAAGACCTCGGCGGATGCAACAGCAGAAACCAGTGAGGAGGTAAGCAAATCATACCCAGTCCAATGTGTCATCAAGGCTTGATAATAAGACTGAATATCCCTATCCCCTTGCTGAAATGAGGATATTTCAGCTCGAGTTCAAACTGACGCGCTGCATTAGTTTGAGAATACATAGCGCGAAGATGTGCCAGGTCTCAGAAGCCAATGAAAATCGCCGGAGACAGACCAGTGCCAACATCAACGGAGGCAAGCAACCAAAAAATAACTTGTGCGTTCCCAACATCACAATCTTCAATATCTTTTGCGGGAGCCTTTGTACCTGGTTTGGGACGCATCCCATCCAAAATGGTAAGCAAGCGCCGCCCAACAATATAGATGCGGAACTGAAACTCCCTGAGAGGGTAGTTCGTCCCGCCCAGCTTTGTAGTTAACATATCCACTTTCCCGAGATCCATAGCGAGAAGTAAACAACAAGAAAGCAATCGGCCGCAAACAACAAAGAACGGCCAGAAAAATAACCTGGTGCTGACGCGATGATGACAAAGACCCGTAGACAAATTATAGCAGGCCGGAGAGAAATCCCAAAGTCACCAAATAACATTTAGAAATAGAACAAAACCAATAAAGAACCCAAAGCTGTTGGTGCAGATAACTCACAGCGGCAGAACCAAGTTGAAGAAGAAACCAAAGATGTCGGCGCAGAAAACCCACAGCGAGAAACCTAGCCTACGAGAATGATGAGTCTGCAGGCTCTGATACCATGACAAATATTCAATCAATGAGCTGACAATGTAAAGAACACACGAGATTTTTTTAACGTGGTATCATCAGTAGTACCCTAGTCCAACGAGAGGATCGATCCCTTTAAAGTTTTAGTATTGTGTTTTCATTATTCTTCAACGACTTTAATGCCATTGTAAGTTGTAACACTAGAAGAAAAATTACACTTAGATAGTTTACTTGCCAGTTGCCACGAATATACTTAGAGGACCAACATACAAGCAAACGTAGATGTAAGTAAGCACCAGATGCAATACACAGGTGGAATTTTTTAGTTGGAGAAACCCTAAAGATATACATAACAAATATAGCAATGGTTGTTGTCTCTTGGCTTTTTCCAAATTACACAAAATAAGCATAAAAAGCCTAATACGAAATATATACACGCATATGTCAGTGAGTTGTCCATATACATAAACAGTACATTACTTAATATAAACGATATATGCTCCTCATGTTCAGTGGTAAACATATTGATATTGCTAACCTTCTCTTCCCATTTATTTATATATATATTTAATCCCCTTCACATTGCGTGGCCGTGGGCTTCTCTCCCCAGCTGAGTCAAGCACTCAAGCCAGAAAAGGCGCCTCTCTCTCTCTCTCTCTCTTCTTTCCTTGCTCCCAAACAAAGTCTGAATGAATGATCATAGTATACCCAGGTGGCGATGACAACCCACAAAGCACCAACTCCACAACCTTCTCCCCAATCCCACCCCAACAATCCCGCACCCGAATGTTGCATGTGCGGCGATTTCGGCTTCTCCTACGAGCTTTTCCAGTGCCAAGTCTGCCATTTCAGATCTCAGCACAGGTCAGTCAATCGATAAACTCTCTGCTCTGGTTAATTGATTTGCTTGCACAAGTTTCGCGCTCTCTATGAGGCTCCAGTCAAACGGGCAAAAAA